ATCATTACAAATGAACAAATCTGAGAGAGTCCACATGTAGTACCTATATATGTAATATCAAAGCAATTGGACTTGCGGTTTTCAACAAGAAGTGAAAATATCACTTTTACCAAAAATTACAAAAATATTCACCAAAATTAGAGAATTAAAGATATCATTACAAAATGAACAAATCTGAGAGAGGTCCACATGTAGTACCTATATATGTAATATCAAAGCAATTGGACTTGCGGTTTTCAACAAGAAGTCGAAAATATCACTTTTTACCAAAAATTACAAAAATATTCACCAAAATTAGAGAATTGAAGATATCATTACAAAATGAACAAATCTGAGAGAGGTCCACATGTAGTACCTATATATGTAATATCAAAGCAATTGCACTTGCGTTTTTCAACAAGAAGTCGAAAATATCACTTTTTACTAAAAATGACAAAAATATTCACCAAAATTAGAGAATTGAAGATATCATCATGAAATGAACAAATCTGAGAGAGGTCTACCCAAGGTACATATACACCAAGTATCAAAGCATTCAGGCTTGTAGTTTTCAAGAGGAAGTCGAAAAAGTAAAACATTGACACGGACGACGGAGACGGACGACGACGACGGACAATCACTCATATGATAAGCTCCGCTCGACAAAGTCGACAGCGGAGCTAAAAAGAGAACCCTGCGTTGACGTCAGTCGCCATGCGGCCGGTGGTGTCAACTTCACAGTCAACCAACTAATTAGAGCTGACGACGTCAAGTACTGTAGCGTTGTCGAGGGTCCGTCGAATACCAACCGTTTCATCAATTTTTTTGTTGAAGCAGTGGAAAATTATACAGATGACTGACAACAAATCTTACAACCTGGGGATTTTGTTGTCCTCGACAACGCCCCAATTCACCATAATGAAGCTGAGGTTATACTTTCTAACTGGTTTGGAACGATGGGCATCGAATATATTTTTTTACCCACTTATTTCCCAGACTTCAATCCCTGTGAAAACTGTTTCGGTAAGATGAAAGAAATACTCAAAAGGGAACATTATCGCCGTCTCTTGCATGCCATGTATGATGCTGTCGGCGAAATTACGCCAACTGACATTGCCGGTTATTATAACCTGACTGGATATCTCCAAGTCTAACTTCTTTGTCTATGACATAAACCAAACGGCCCTTTTCAGGGCCACTAAAATATTCAAACAAGCAGCCTATCGGCTGAGATAGCTCCGCTGTTAGAAATGCACATTTCAATTAAAGAACTGAAGACATCATCAGAAAATGAACAATATGTATAGTATCAAAGCAATCGGACTTACAGTTTTTAACAAGAAGTCGAAAATATCACTTTCTACCAAAAATGACTAAAATATTCACCAAAATTAGAGAATTGAAGATATCATCACGAAATGAACAAATCTGAGAAAGGCCTACATGTAGTATCTATATATGTAATATCAAAGCAATTGAACTTTTGGTTTTTAACAAGAAGTCGAAAATATAACTTTTTACCAAATATGACAAAAATATTCACCAAAATTATAGAATCCAAGATATCATCACGAAATGAACAAATCTGAGAAAGGTCTACATGTAGTATCTAAATATGTAATATCAAAGCAATTGAACTATTGGATTTTAACAAGAAGTCGAAAATATCACTTTTTACCAAAAATTACAAAAATATTCACGAAAATTAGAGAATTGAAGACATCATCACAAAATGAACAAATCTGAGAGAGGTCCACATGTAGTACCTATATATGTAATATCAAAGCAATCGGACTTGTGGTTTTTAACAAGAAGTCGAAAATATCACTTTTTACCAAAAATTACAAAAATATTCACCAAAATTAGAGAATTGAAGATATCAACATGAAATAAACAAACCTAAGAGAGGTCTACCCAAGGTACATATACACCAAGTATCAAAGCATTCAGTCTTGTAGTTTTCAAGAAGAAGTCGAAAAAGTAAAACAATGACACGGACGACGACGACGGACAATCACTCATATGATAAGCTCCGCTCGACAAAGTCGACAGCGGAGCTAAAAAGAGAACTACCGTAATACATTGCTTGTGTTTGTGTCTGTTTGGTGATTATGTGTGAGTTTATGTAGTACTAGTATATTAGCCCTGCGTACAATGCTGTGTGTAGGGGAACGCGTCCGGTTGATAGATGTCCCTCACCACAGCCCTGCATACCTTCCACGTTGTACGTAATTCCTTCTTAGACAAGTGTCAATAAGTACACATTGGTGTGTACATGTTTTGTTTATTTTACTAGTTACTCCTATCAGACTTTATCTCAGTCAAGGTTGCAATGCAGATGCTGTACATGAAAGAGCTGTAAACTCAAGAAATAAAATGAGAGGACAGGGTCACTGGTAACACTGCAGGTATGATCGTTATACAAATTTTAGATAACCAGGAAGTGATTTCAGATGGACACACAAACAAGGACAAATTAACAATTTAGGAATACTCACTCAAGATAGCCAGGTCCAAGTTGTCTGTTTGTGGGGCTGGAGGGAGCTGAAAAAGTTCTTCTGCTTTCTTTTACTCGTTGAGGTTTGGCCGTAACTGAAGCCTGAAATGAAACACACACGCATGGTACATGAACGTATCTGATGAGGTTTGCCTGTAACTAAAGCATGAATGCCGAAAAATTTACTATATGTTAAGGGACTACAGTTGTCAACATCAAAAAGTTTCTTCATTCTAGCCATATTGTTATACATTGTTAGTATATAGGTGCATTTAGAAGGAATAGACCATTCAGTACAAATATTAACATGCCATGCATGGCACAGTCCTCGTTAGTTATCAAACTTAAGATATATAGTTTTGTTTATAGTAATATAGTTGGAACATAAACATATCAGAGATATGGATCCAGAGGCTGATGGTTGATTATGATGATTTTTTAACATTGATATGATCGACATTCAATCATATTGTTTCTGAATTGAGTACTTGTTCATATTGGAAGATATTGCTTTGGAACAGCATTAACAGCATTTTGAGCACATATGTATATCTATAATATGATGTATAGTGAATATATAAAAATTTGAACATAATCAGTCAAATCATGTCAAAAATATGGCTCTAGAACCGCATTCGTTAAAACAAAATGGCCGCCAGTCAGTCATTTTGAATCCAATTTGAAAAATAAAATGACATGCATCAAGGTCCCATAATGCCCAATGTATGTACCAACTACCAAACAAAATCCATCCAGAAATTCTTGATTTTGATGATTTTTCAGCACAAAAATGGCCGCCATTCAGCAATCTTGAATCAGATCATGAAACAAATTGATGTGCATATGTATAATATTATGTATGATATATGTGTAGTGTGTATGTAATCGGTCAAGGCATGCACACAGGTCAATCAATAAGTCTTCGTTTTCAAACGGGAACCAGAACTAATTACAAGATACTATTTTAACAATGTTAACATTCTAGCTATATTCCTAGTTAACTCAGTATTTCCTGCTGACTGTCAACACATAGCCCTGAAATATGATATTAAGACTCACCTTAAGGTTTATTGCACCGATAATTTTGGCAGCTAAGTCCCTGACATCGGGATGCGGATCACTGGCAAGAAGTATGATACTCTTCCAGACCTGTGCATACACGTTACCATATGCTGGCGCCCAGAGAGACGAAAGTGAACTCCCAGATGGAACTCTACGGATTTTGTCTGGTGTGTATAGAGTCTGGGGTACGGGTAATGGAAGATCTGCACTGCCCGCACCACCATTGCTATGGCTGCCCAAACTGCTGATGCTGTTTAATGGTGAAAGCGGGCCTGTTTAGCGGTAAAACAAGTTTTAAGTTAGTTTGTACTAGATTGAATAAATAATGCAATAACACAATCACGAAAAACATTAAATAGGATCTCCCAGGAAATCAATAGATGCAACAAACATGAATTTATATAAAACTTATGCACATTGACATACAGGCATTTTATATAATTATATATAACTTACGACCCTATAACTTGAAAATAAAGTAAGCATAAAATAAGTTATAAACTTTAAAATATGGTTAGTAGAATAAAACAGACAACTAAATAAGTAAGACATTATTAAATTAACAAGATCAAGATCTAAATAAAAGTTCAAGTAGTTTCAATCAATACCTTAATATATTGATTGGACATAAGGTAAATATGGTTGAACATAGTAAAATAATGGCTAGCAGTAAAATAAAGTTTTTTAAAAACACATGCAGTGTACTGAAATGTACAAGATGGGAACTCAAGGAACACTGGAGATTAAAACACAAAACAACATGTAATGAAAAGCATGATGTGATACTGAAGTACATGTTGTTTGTAATACAAAAAATCCTCATCCTCGACTTAGTCTCAAAAATTGTAAGGTATAAAAACAGCTACATGTCCTTTGTTTACCTAGTATCTATATCATTACACTGTGACATATATAACAAACTGTTTGGGGACATACAATCAGTTTGTTTTTGTGAAGTGTTCATTATAACAAATACATTGCGTTGGAGTACATAAGTGGGAAACATGCAGTGTGTTCATTACATCAGAAAATTTATTATAAAGGTAATATTACCGGTATAAGGTTACAGTGTATAATAATTCATATAATAATGTGAGTGTCAGTCATTCTTTGTTTTTCTATTTCATTTATGAGGTTGTATAATCTAAGCATTCAATGCCAACTCAATTTTTGTTAATGATTGTTTACTGCGTATGAATTTCATCTGATTACATCCTGAAAATGAGTTTTGTTGACCTGGTCATAATGACGTCAACTAGTAATCTAAGTCAAACCAAATGTTGCAGACATAATGCCTTTTGTTTCCATGAGGTATGTGGTGGAATCTTTGGTTAACAATTAAATTTATACAAAACACAGAATATCACTTCACTAGACATGTTAAGTAGCTTTTGTATTCACAGATTTTTTAATGAAATCTTCAAAAATACCTGGAATCTATTTTAATAACAAGGTTGTTCCAGAAAGACCACTCAGTATGCACTCAGTACTAAGATTGCACTGATCTCAGTGACGAGATGGCACTGATCTCAGTGACGAGATTACACTGATCTCAGTGACGAGATTGCACTGATCTCAGTGACGAGATTGCACTGATCTCAGTGACGAGATTGCACTGATCTCAGTGACGAGATTGCACTGATCTCAGTGACGAGATTGCACTGATCTCAGTGACGAGATTGCACTGATCTCAGTGACACTATCACACTGATCTTAGTGCTACGGTCACACTGATCTCAGTGCTACGGTCACACTAATCTCAGTGCTACGGTCACACTAATCTCAGTGCTACGGTCACACTGATCTCAGTGCTAAGGTCACATTTATCTCAGTGCTAAGGTCACACTGATCACAGTTGCAATGCTCAACCTATCTTAGTTGTTACATCTGGAACAATGTCTTTATAGCCACACATTATTCATACATTGTCACTACTCAGCAAAATACACATCAAGTGAACGATGTAGAGAATTCATAGGAAGATTAAAGTAGAAGGTCTCACCATTAAGAAGATTACTGGTACTATGGCTAAGAGGTAAGGCAGTATTCACTCTACGTAAAGAATTCGATGAGGCACCTCTTCTCATACCCAGGTCACCATCTTGAGAAAGTCACGAGGCAAGAAATAACAAGCGAATAAACAATAATACATTATGGGATGTAATACAGGAAAGTGATGGTGCGGCCATTTTGAATAATTGTTGCAAGCAGAAAATAACTTTTTCGAGGCTGGCAACAACTTTTCAAAACAGGTGAACTATAACAAAAGCACAAGTATGTAATATGACAAAGACGATGATATAACAGATACAACAAACAAATATGTATTGCAAGCCAAAAAGATATTTCACATAGTACAACAGGAAAGCAAGATATTTTGCAATTAAAGAATCTGAAGAGAAATCCTTTTTACCAAGCCATTCACAAAATTTGTCTTAAATGCCATACTATCAGTTACTATGACAATGTATATAACTTCTGAAAGCTAAGACATTAAAGAACTTTAGACATATTTTGTAAAAATGTACAAGAAAATAGTTGCGTCTGAACCATCTGTGTATAGCACATAGAGTATGAGATGTAGGTAAAGCTTTCAGAAACAATATGGGTATACATTGTCATGGGTACAAATCAAGTACTAGTATTTACATAAAATGCACAAAACGATCCCATAGGCAGTATAAATAGGAATTCCTTGTCAATCAGATTCCAGTTAATGCAACCCTACCACTATATAAAAACTTATGATAGTGAAAGTTGAAAACAGTACATGCACTCAGTGATGTGAAAATGTAAAGATATTACACCACATATGTGTACCCTGTTTATAACCATAACATGAAATAAACTACAGACTGGGAAATGAGTCAGGTGCTATTAATATTCATACCTGGAGGTGGACCATCAGGACTTTGTAACTCCTGTGATCGTTTCTGTTCTCCTTCTATCCATTGCATTGCTATCAACACAAAGTGACTTTCAAACTGACATACAAACTCATGTAATGAAACTGCTAACTCCTAAAAAAAGAAAAGACAATACTTTTGGAATCAGAATCAGGTAATTCAGAGCAAGGAGGACTTTTATTCTGAAAGCATTAGAGCAAAGCAAAGCATTGTGGGTGTAAAGCAAAACATTGTAAGTGTAAGGCAAAGCATTGTGGGTGTAAGGTAAAGCATTGTGGGTGTAAAGCAAGATATTGTGGGTGTAAAGCAAAGCATTGTGGTTGTAAATCAAAGCATTGTGGGTGTAAGACAAAGCATTGTGGGTGTAAGGCAAAGCATTATGGGTGTAAAGCAAAGTATTGTGGATATATAGCAAAGCATTATGGGTGTAAAGCAAAGCATTGTGGGTGTAAGGCAAAGCATTATGGGTGTAAAGCAAAGTATTGTGGATATAAAGCAAAGCATTATGGGTGTAAAGCAAAGCATTGTGGGTGTAAAGCAAAGGGTGAGGGGATAAAGAAAATTATTGTTGGTGTAAAGCAAAGCATTGTGGGTGTAAGGCAAAGCATTATGGGTGTAAAGCAAAGTATTGTGGGTGTAAAGCAAAGGGTGAGGGGATAAAGAAAATTATTGTTGGTGTAAAGCAAAGCATTGTGGGTGTAAGGCAAAGCATTATGGGTGTAAAGCAAAGTATTGTGGGTGTAAGGCAAAGCTTTGTGGGTGTAAGGCAAAGCATTGTGGGTGTAAAGCAAAGCATTATGGGTGTAAAGCAAAGTATTGTGGGTGTAAGGCAAAGCTTTGTGGGTGTAAGGCAAAGCATCGTGGGTGTAAGGCAAAGAAGTATTGTGGATATAAAGCAAAGCATTATTGGTGTAAGGCAAAGTATTATGGGTGTAAAGCAAAACATTGTGGGTGTAAGGCAAAGCATTATGGGTGTAAAGCAAAGTATTGTGGGTGTAAAGCAAAGCATTATGGGTTAAGGCAAAGCTTTGTGGGTGTAAACCAAAGTATTGTGGGTATAAAGCAAAGCATTATGGGTGTAAAGCAAAATACTGTGGGAGTGAGGCAAAGTATTGTGGGTGTAAAGCAAAGCATTATGGGTGTAAAGCAAAATATTGTGGGTGTAAGGCAAAGCATTATGGGTGTAAGGCAAAGCTTTGTGGGTGTAAAGCAAAGTATTGTGGGTGTAAAGCAAAGTATTGTGGGTGTAAGGCAAAGTATTGTGGGTGTAAGGCAAAGTATTGTGGGTGTAAAGCAAAGCATTATT